AAAAAAAAAAAAAAAAAAAAAAAAAAAAAAAAAAAAAAAAAAAAAAAAAAAAAAAAAAAAAAAAAAAAGGAAAAAAAGAAAAAAAAAAAAAAAAAAAAAAAAAACGTAAAAAAAAAGAAAAAAAAAAAAAAAAAATAAACAAAAGGAAAAAAATAACGAAAAAAAAAAAACGGAGAAAAAAAAGAACAAGGAAAAAAAAAAGAAAAAGGGAAAAGACAAAGTAAAAAAAAAGAAACGAAGAATAACAAATAAAGAAAAAAAACAAATAGAGAAGTAAAAATAAAAGGATTAACTAAAGGATAAAGGAGAAGAAATGAAGAAAGAAAAAGAAATGAACAAAAAAAAACAAAAAAAAACAAAAGGAAAAAAATAAAGAGGAAGAAAAGAAACGAAAAAAAATACCAAAGAGTAGAAGAAAATGAAAGGAAAAAAAAGAAAAAAAATAAAATAAAAGAAAACAAAGAAAAGACAAAGAAAATAGAAAAAAGAAATAAATAGATAAGATAACGACAAAAAACAAAATGAAAAGAAAGAAAAATAGAAAAAAACAAAGAAATAAAGAAAAGTAATGAAAGGGAATAAAGAAAATAAAAGGGAAAAAAAGAATGAATGAAGGGAAAAAGAACAAAGAAAAAGAAGCAGAGAGAATAAAAAAGCAAGAAATAAAGAAAAGCAAGAAATGGAAAAAAGAAGAAACAAAAAGAAGAGGAAAAGAAACGAACCAAACTAAAAAAAATAAAGGGGAAAAAGATAAGGCAAAGAAAGAAAAAGAAAGGAAAGAATAAATAAAAAATGAAAGAATAAAAAAAAAGATAAAGAAAAAGGTAGAACAAAGAAAGGAAAAAAGGAATGATAAAAGAATGACAAAGAAAATAAAAAAACAAAAGAATGAAGAGTAAAAAGAAAAAACAAAATGAATAAAAAAATGAATAAAAAACGACTAACAAAAAAAATTAAAAATAAAAAAAAAATAAACTAAAAGAAAAAGAAAAAGAAAAACCAAAAGAAAGAAGAAAGAAAAATGAAAGAAAAATAAAAAAAATTTCAAATATATGAAAGAACAAAAGGTAAAAAAATGAAAAAATACAAAAGAAGAAGCAATTAAAGAAACAAACGAAAAAACGAAGAATAAAAAAGAAACCAAGATGAAGAACAAATAAAAAAAAGATAAAAAAAGGGCGAAAAAAAAAGAAAAAATAAAATGAATAAAGAAAAAAAAATAAAAAAATAAAAAGAAAGAAAAACAAATGAATGAAAGAAAGCAAAATAAAAAAAGTATGAAGAAAGGAAAAAAGAATAAAAGTAAAAAAAATAAATAATGATCAATAGATCAAATTCAAAATAAAAAAAAGAAATGATCCTGCTAGTACAATTGGCTATTAAACATGTAATCTATTTTTGTTATATGACTATTCAAATAAAGGTACACAGCGTTATAACCAGAAAATGCAACAACCACTTTTTTGATATTTAGATTATAAATATATCAAAAATGAATTTTTGGTATCAAAGGATGTAGAAGTATAAGTCTGTCACTTCGCTCCAGACAATAATCAAGCTATGAACTGTGATTATCAAAAATCTTAATATTTTAGAAATTCTAAATGTATATCATGATTTGGATTATTAAACTTTTGGGTTTTTTATTTAAAATATAAATAGAAATATTCTCTGGTAAAATTATTTTATTTTTATATTATTAGATATTGCAAAGCTATTTTACTCTTATGAAATATTTCAGATTTTGAAAAATAATTTCAAAATTAGCAAATAGTAAATTAATTGTCTACACACTGATTATATCTTTTTAAAAATACTATTAAAATAACTAAAACAGTGAAATAATTCTACTATTGGTAAGTTGATGTTTAAATTAATAAAATTTGGTAAATTTCACTAAGTATCTCTCCCTGACATTATATACAAAAGTTAAATAATTTCTAATTATATCACTCTAAGATAACATAATTTTATGATTTTGGATGTTTTATTAAACAATATATTTCAAATTTACCAAGGAAGAAATGTTGCAAACATTAATTATTGTCTCATTTAAATAAAATTCAATCTATATCAAACTTATAAATTTCTATATTTAATAATTCAATATTTTTATTTAAATTAAATCTTTATTAATTTATACCTTATCTGTTTTTTACTTGTCACAAAAATCAAAATGAATATTATTTAGAGTTTAGTTTTTTTGTGCATTCGCATGATTGTGCACCCCTGTAATTATGTAAAAACATGATCTGTCACTCATAATCGATCAATCAAAATTAATTACAACTTATATAAAAAAAATTATTTTTTTATTAATTAATAAAAAAAATACAAAATGACAAATTACAAAACATAATACTATAGCAAACTACTATTTAGCACTAAACTAAACCAAACTATATAAAAGCTCATGAACAAGTAACACAATCCACAACAAAAACACCAACAACTCAACATCACCAATAGTTCAAATATTGATAATTTCAATGATGAAATCACATCTAGACAAAAAGAAATGCTAAGAAATATAGAAAAAAAAGTAATATAACAACACAAAAACAATACTTACACCAACTCCAACAACAATTCTAATAACACCAATAGCGATGATGGCTTCAAGAATAAAGCTTCCAGAGACGATAATTCCAAAGACAACATCACCAGGAACAACAACAACTTCAACTGAAGAGACAACATCACCAGGAACAACAACTTCAACTGAAGATAACAAGAGCTATTAAATTAGATCTGGAAGAAAAATAAAGCATGTTAGTTAAATAAAAAAAAAAACAGAACACAAAAAAAAACATTGAAAAAAAACAAAAAGAACACAAAAAGAATGAAAGGGAGAAGCGAAAGAAAGAAGAAAATGAAAAGAGAAAACAAAAAAAAAAAAGGAAAATGAAAAAAAAAAGAAAAGCCAAAAGAAAAAACAAAAAGAAAGAGGAAGGGAAAATGAAAAAAAGAAGGGAAAATGAAAAAAAGAGAAAGGGAAAATGAAAAGACGAAAAGAAAGAGGAAGAGATGAAAAAAGGTGAGAAAATGGAAAAAAGAAATAAAAAAAAAAGAAATAGAAAAGGCGAAAAGAAAAAAACAGAAGAACGAAGTGAAAGGAATAAAGATGACGAAAAGAAAAAAAGAGAAGAGCGAAAAGAAAGGAGAGGGAAAGGAAACGAAAGAAAGGGCTAAACAAAATAAAAAAAAAGAAAAAAACGAAAAGAAGCGAAAGGAAAAAAGATAAAAGCAAAGAAAAAAAAAGGACGGAAAAAAAATGGAAAAAGTGAGAAAAAAATAGAAAAACGAAAAAAAGAGGAAAAAGCAATGAAAAAATAGAGAAAGTAAAATGAAAGAATTGGAAAAAATGAAATGATAAAAAAGAAAGTGAAAGAAAAAAAAAGGAAAGGGTAAATATGAAGAAAACAAAAAAAAAGGGAAAGCGAAAAAATAATAAGCGAAACAGAAAAAAAAAGTAGCAAAGCAAAAGAGCAAAAGCGAAAGCAGCAAAAGCGAAAGCAGCAAAAGCAAAAGCAGTAAAAGCGAAAGTAGCAAAAGCGAAAACAGGAAAAGTGAAGACAGCAAAAGCAAAAGCAGTAAAAGCGAAAGTAGCAAAGCAAAAGCAGTAAAAGCAAAAGCAGTAAAAGCAAAAGCACAAAAGCAAAATAGCAAAAGCACAAAAGCAAAAGCAAAAGCAGCAAAACACAAACAATAAAAAAAAAAAATAACGATCGTTGTACGTGATCTTTAACTTTATTTGATTATATATGCACAAAAAACATTTTCCCTATTATTTATTCTTTTTACGTTTTTCATAGATCATTGTGGTAAAAGGCCTAAAATAATGATAGAATTCGTAAAAAATTAGAAAATAAGTGGAATAAAAGTTTATTGTCATAAAAACTTACCCTTCAAATTGAAGTGCTATTAAATAAAGTATAAACGCCCATATAGTTAAAAGAATTCC